GGTTTGAGGGTTAGGGGTTTAGGGTTTAGGAGTTTCGTAGTGTTTCGGGGTTTAGGGGTGTAGGGGCTTCGTAGTGTCTAGGGGTTTGGAGGTCGCATAAAGGGTTGCATAAGGCTTTGGTGCATTGTTTGTGTACAGGCGAAGGCACGTACATCAACGACGGCGACTACAATGCCTGCGAAAAATTCGAAAGTTCGACACTTCTATTTTGGAGTTTTCGCTTTTGTTGAAACGAAACCAAACAAAGAATAGTTCGACGACAAAAATTCGAAAGCTCTAAATTGGAAGTTTCAAGTTTTCGCGTTTGTTGTTGAAACCAAACAAAGCAAGCATTAACGAACTAGAATTTTCAATTTTTAGCATCCTACGGCTGACACAAAAATCTGATTTTCGAGTTTTAGGGTGCAGGGAATTAGGGTTTATGGGGGGGCTCTTCTTATAAAGCCCGTGCTAGAAACCCTTAAAATCTATGGGGGAATTGCCTTATCCCTGAACAATGCCTCAACCCTACTGAAACCCAACATCCACTAGGGGACTTGAAGCCTATCTAAACCCAAAGCCCTAAACCCTAGACCCAAGGCCCTCGCCCGAAGCCCTAAACTCAAAAGATCACCTAAGGTAGATTGACAAGAGGTAGTTTCTTGCCATTTTTCAGCATACAAAAAATACAAACATACAAATAAATATCATCAACACACCAGAAAATAATACCAACATGCGAACAGCAACAGGAAACATACAAACAAACACAGCCCATCAAGATATACTGCCGACACACATGCAAAAACACAGAAGCCAAGTATCCGCAGCTCAAGCAAGGTTTAGGGTTTTAATCCCTAAACCGAAAGCCCTCGACCAGAAAAAGCCCAAACTTTACGAAAGCTGAAAGCTCCCCTATCTGAAACTCAGGCCCTCGTGGCTCAGAAGCACGAGATGTCTCAAGACCGATGCATATAAGCCAAATTCCCTCATCTTAGGGCTTAAGGGCTTTGGGCGTAAGGTGGCTGTTCTGTGGTTTGTGTCACGCAAGGGTGACTGGCACCCGAAGCCACCAAAAGTTGAAACCTCAAATTTGGGCCCTAAAACCCTAAAACCCAAAGCCCCCAAACCCAAAACCCTAAGCCCCAATGCCCAAAACCCGAAACCCCAAAACTTTAAACCCTAAACCCTAAACCCCAAACCCTAAACCCAAAATCCAAAGCCCCAAAACCCCAAAACCCCATGCCCTAAACCCCTCGAGGATTCTAGGGCTCGAGAGTTCCCAGATCGACGCTGGGAGCTCTCCGCGGGTTGAGGCTCTATCTTTTTAGGGTTTAGGGTCTAGGATTTAGGGTTTAGGGTTTAGGGTTTAGGGTCTAGGATTTCGGGTTTAGGNNGGTTTAGGGTTTAGGGTCTAGGTCTTCCAGCAGGTAGCCTGAATGATTGATAGTATGATCCCTTAGGGTACCTTACCCAGAGGGTCCATATGTACTACCTTTGTGGAATTAGGTCCTAAAAGACCATTCATGTTATGGTTTTGGGGGCTTAATTCCATAATAGTAGTTAGTATATATGGACCCGTAGGGCTAGAGTCAGTGTACCAACGCCTTCTTCTTTCTAGTCAGGCCACTGTAATTACAGTTTTTTAGTGTTTAGTGTGGCCTGACAAGCCTGACCCACCACGGATTCCAAACTTTACTTAAACCTTAAACCTCCAAAGCCCCCACCCAAAGCACTTGAAACCTAGACCCTCGATCTACAACGCTTCGACCTCCGAGTTCTCTTCAGCTCCCAAAATCACATTCTAAACTTTTACAGCCGTCATCCCCGAACCCTAAACCCTCAAGCCCTATGCCCTCAAACATTCGGCCTTAAGCCTTCCAGGAGCTGATTGACTACGAAGGCCTCGATGTAGCCGAGGCCAGGGAAACTCTGTCTGCTGTTGAGATACAGGGGCCTTACAAAATATGATAAGGGTCCTGTAAGTGCTCCATAAGTGTTACTACAGGAGTTCTAGAGGCTTTTGAAGTTGGGTATATTATAATAACTACGATAAGGAGTCCTCAGAAATTTTTCACGCTCCTACATTAAATGAGTTTGAACTTGACAGGTCTTTCCGCTGGATTGGCCGCGCAGCCACGAGCTGAACCCCGAGAACCGCGCAGAGTACGCCACTCGCCCAAGAATTCCCCCCCAAGAGCGCAGTTAGTTCTATGTATCTGTATCTGTGTATGGTTTAGGGCTTATGGATGCTTATGGTTATGTCATATGACATGTGCATGCGTAGTTTTGTGTACATATGCACACATGTATGTATGTATGATATGTATGTATGTATGTATGTATGTATGTATGTATGTATGTATGTATGTGTATAGGCATATATAAGCGCACGCACACACACGCACATGTGTGTGTATATATATTTATATATATACACATACGTATATCTAGTTATCTGTCTGTCTGTCTGTCTACCTATCTATCTATCTATCTATCTATCTATCTATATACACATATAGATATAGATGTAGATATAGATATAGATATAGATATAGATATATATCTATATAGATGTATATATATATATATATATGCATGTATATGTTTAGGCATGTGTATATGTATTTTGTACTTATTTATATACGTATGTACGTGGACATGAATAGATACACAAATAGATAAACAAACACAAAGTACACATCTAAACATGATTCTTGTTTGTTTTAGTTTATGAACTCAAAACCTATGTACGTATAAATTTATGTACATGTATATGTATATGCATATTGCATGCTAATGCCTATGCACGTGTATTTGCATGTGTATGTCTAGATATGCAGGTTGATTCTGGGGTGCTTTATTCTGCGTGTCTTACACACATGTATGAGTGCATATATATATATATTGCAGATATGTGTGTGTGTGTATATGTGTATATATATATATATGTGTGTGTGTACGCACACACACACACACAAAACCCTGGGGTTTAAGGAATGGTGCCCCGCTCATTCGACAGGTAACTGGGCTCTTAGGGTACGTACATCAGGGCTTGTGGGCGTAAAAGCCAGGTAATTCGGAGTTCAGAGTTGAGGGTGTGAGCGGAAAGGTACAAGCTATGATACCTGAGCTGTCCTGCTCGCATCCGTCTAGACGAACTGATCGATGGATATGAAACCGTGTCAGATCTCTGAACTCTTCAGACCGTAGGTAACCACCCTTATAATAAATCCCTGCAAGGAACCCCTGACCCCTGAAGCACCCCTGGAACAGAATCCCTTTGTAGAAGACCTCTAAACCCCTCAACCCCTCAACCCTACACCCCTAAGGGCTGCAACATCAGTAATAGTGGAGAACTTGGCTTCTAGGGTTTAGGGTTGACGTTTGAATCTCCCAGTCGTTTCACTTTCGGGGCCTATTCGGTGGATAGCATTATTGTTGCCAGCAGCCTTGTGCCCTGAGCCCAGGGGGGTTAAGGTTTAGGAGTTTAGGGTGGGGCTTAGGGGCCCCTCTAAACCCCAAACCTTTTGCACCCTTCCTGAGTCTGTCTCGGCATTGGGGGGACGCCGCTGCACACGGCAGCTTTAGCGATGCGAGGCTATGGGCTTCCAGAGCTAAGGCGTGCGGCACAGAAGGATAAGTGCGTGCAACACTAGACTTGTGTGGTTGTCAAAATTATGGTCCCTTTTTGGGTCCTTATGATAATACGGCACCTATTATTTACGGTACCCCAAAAGGGACCATGATTTTGACAACTACCCATTTGAGCTTAAAGAGGAATCGACTCCCAAAGCTCGGGATCGAAAGTGGCTCTAGCAATCTAAGGACTCCTATGGACGCATATGTCCCAAAGACCATACTGTGCAAGGCTTTCGGGATGTTTTAAGTCTAAGGGTACTGTTTGGCCTGGCAACGTAAGGCTGATCTGCGGTTTACTAGCTTTTCGGATTGAATGTACGTGTTGGTAAGTATGGTGTGCCACAGCGCGACAGCAAAAACAGATACAAGTGAAGAGCCAGTGCCGCGACACTAAAAGGACTGTCCCTAAACCCTAGATGGTTAAAAGGCCCTCAAACGAGCCCTTGACGCTGTTTCCAGACTTCTTTGATCTATAAAGCTGAAGACCCTTGGAAGACTGCATCGGTCCTACCCTCCTGTTGAACAGCTCTTCGAAAAGCGATCATCCCAGCCTTTTTGAAGCCCTCAGAAGGGGGACTCATCTCATAACAACCCCGTCCTCAAGGTCAAAGATTACGTGCAGTGGTTCATGCAAGAGCGCTTCCAAGCGTTCTTCGGAAGCATCAGGTTCAAGAGAAGGTTGGCGGTTTAGGGTTTTGGGGCTTGGGGGTTTAGGGTTTAGGGTCGGTCAAGGTAGGGTTCAGGGTGTAGGTGTGCCTGCAGATCCTATCTCCTAGGAGACCATTGCCTAGTGTGTTGTGGAGTGGAGTTTTGCGGCAGGGTTCCTGACGAGACTAAACCGCAACGGGCTGCAGTAGGTGTTGCAATCCGTCTATCTTGGCTCACAGCTTACACCCAGTCTAGTGGCGCGCCCATCTACAACAAACGGTTCAGGGTTGTGGGTTCAGGGTTTAGGGTCTAGCTAGTGCTTTTATTGTCGGAAGCAGCTTCTGAGCGATGTTGCTATCCCAAGTTGTACAACGATTCACTTCCCAGAGAAACTAAGATCCCAGAAGAAAGATCCAGGAGGCATCGAATTCTCGATGGCACCCTAGTTAACCCCTTCGATGTCACTGGAGCGCCCTAGCTCCAAACCCGAAACCATAAACCCTGAACCTTAAACCCGAAACCCTGAACCCTGAACCTTATACCATCTTATACCCGAATCCCCCAGCCCGAAACCCTACAAATCTCTAAACGCGAAACCCACCATCTTCGCCTAAACCCTAAACTCTAAACCCGAGACCCACCATCTTCTCGCGAGCCGGTGCAACATGCACAACATCGCAAATCAGTAGTCTTGAAAACCTAGGGTCCCTTTTAGGGGGCCTTTTTATACGGGTGCCGTACTCTGTTTATTCGTGACCTAAATCCTGGGTTCGTGTTAAGGGTTTGGTTTAAGCTACCATAATCGGGATCTATAGTCAACGCATGTCAGTGATAGGGTTTCTATATTACTATGGTAACTTGAACTGAATCCCTGAACCAGAACATGTTAGACAAGAGCCTGAGCAGACAAACGACACCGTCTGTGCCGATAGCTACACTCTGCGAGATGTGGAGGGCCGTCAACGTCGCAGACCGTCAGCCGGTTTAGGGTTTAGGGTTTAGGGTTTGGGGTTTAGGGTTTAGGGTTTAGGGCCACCCCCTTGAGGCAGACAATGAGGCAATTGGGGAAAGCAAGCCGCCACGCAAAAAAAAACAAAGCTCCTCGGCGAGCCATGAAGGCAAAACCAGCATCCTAAATGACCGCGAACTCAGAGCCGGCAGCTCTGAAGAAACGACTCGTCTCGGTCTCCAGCCCTTCCACATCTACGAAAGGATTCTCCGAAGCAGTGGATGCTAAACCCTGATGGCTCGAGCTGTCGCGTTCAGGGTTAGGGGCATGTTCAGGCCGTAGGGACTTCGCCGTCAATGGTTCATAAGCCAAGGCTTAAGCTACCTAGTAACATGCACGAGCCGAAACTCGATGGTGGCTACCTGCCATCCCAGTGCCCTGTGAAGCTGTATCCACTCCTACGGCCCTACGCCCCAAACTGCTAGCCTGACAGCCTAGCATCCTAACAGCCCGAAGATTTCTCAAAGCCAGGATCCCAGTAACCCCTAAACCGTGAACACAGATTGCCAAATCTCCCTTAGGCAGATGCTGCCGGTCGCCAGAGCCTTCTGTGGGATCCTTGGCCGGAGCCACTTCCTAAAGGCGCGGCAGCATTTTTTCGACGGATCGGATCTAGGGGCTTTAAACGCTCTTCTTGAGGCTACACAGGGTTTGGGCGGACGTTCTTGGTTTTCTATGTGAAATTCCAAAGGAACTTTCCGGAGTAAGACACCCTAAACCTAAACCCTAAACCCTATACCCTAAACTCCTAAACCCTATATTTACCCTAAACTGCTAAACCCTATACCCTAAACCCCTAAAAACCCTATACCCTAAACTACCCCTATCCCCTGTACCCTAAACCCCTATACCCTAAACCCCTATACACCTACACCCTATGTCCAAAACCCCTAAACCAGGCGCTTCTTCCAGGAGCTTTGAGTCTCAGGGATCTCAGGGAGTCGGCTCGGGGTTTTCTTTGCAAGAACACGGGTCCTAGGCAGTAGAACGGAGACCCCTCAAAAGGGGACCCTTCTTTATCCTACTTCTGGCTCTCTTGAAAGGGACATTAATGGAGAGGGTCTATATTTGCAAGGTTTTAGCTAATCCTAACTCCCAACAGGCCCCACAGGGTTTAGGATTTAGGGGTTTACACGCTGAGGGTGTTTGAAGATAGGAACCAGGGTTAACTAGACAAGAAAGAACTAGCGTAGACCGCTGCTCTTGGCGTGTTCTCAGTCAAGAGCGAGTTACCGCTGAAGGGCCGTGAGCCTTGTGCAGGCAAATCGGGATTTCAGACAGTTCGTGGCGCCTTGAGGGGTTGAGGTATAGTAAGGACCACCCTAAGCCCTAAACGCCAAGAACCTACTGCATCACCATGTGGGTCTAGGTAAGGTCCAATAAGGTCTCTCTGTCCTTCTGAAACCCTACACCCTAAACCCT